GGTTGGGGACTTGGATCAGATGAGGTACCAGATAAAGAATGGAGCCCCACCTCATTCTGACCCCCTCTCTTCCCATTCCTTTCTCCAGGGGAAAAGAGAACAATTCAATGGTATAAAGATTGTGAGCTAATGAGATAGACAAGACAACCGAACATTTATTAAATACCCTTTCATGCCAGAAACAAATGTATTATACACACAAAAAGCACCTAAAGCACGGTAGTACTGTGGTTACAAACGTGGGTCCGAGTTCGAGTCCTGCTCTGGAGTGACCAGCCCTGTGAGATGGAGAACACGTAGGTCGGCTTAGCCTCTCCCGGACTTGTTTTCTGTCCTGCAGAGACGGGGCTCGCTAGACGTCCCCCCCGTAGAGGTGCTGTGGGGTGTAAATGACGCGCGTGGGCAGCCCGAGCACAGCTGCTCGTTCCTTGTAAGTGCAGGATAGCATAGCTTTTGCGGTGACAGCTTTATGACCGCCCCGTGTAGACTCTCAGTGCTCCAAGGGGTTGCCTTGTGGTTTGGAGAGGGGATTCTCAATTCTGTAAATACCCAAGGATTGTGTTATTGGGCCCTGCTGATTTGAATCCATTCTTTAGAAAGAACATATTATAGATATATTTTTCAAGGATGCATGCTTTTTTTCTTTTATTATTTATAATTCTTCCCTCTCATCTCCTGGTGTGACTTTTCATGGAATCCAGGAAACAGTCCTAAGCCACCTGCCTCTTCACACTTCTCCGTGGTGGTTTTCCTCCCTGTCTAGAAGAGGGTTTTGCATAGGAAATTTTCTTTGTTCCCCTTTCCTTGGAGTCTCTCTGTTTGTCTGCCCAACTCTCACCTGCCCATCTGTCTCTTTCTCTACCCACTCATTCTTCTGACTTGTTCGAAGAAGCATTTTAGGCAGCTTACAGAAGAACAGATACCAAATAAACAGGTGAGAAAATGGGGCCAAGTTCAGACAGTGAAGCTAGGAGGCGAGCCTTTGTGAGTGTTGCAGGCGTGAGACACACGCCTCTGCCTTGTGACTTATAAGATCAACAGCAAGAGTGTGCCTGAGGCTCCCAGCAGACACAGGGAACAGGGTTTGTGGGAGATGCTCACTGGCTGTGAAATAAATAAGTGGCTTAGGAGAAGCCCAGCCTTTCCAGCTACTAAGGCTTAGGAGAATATTTTGAGTGTCTTCCAAAATCAGAGTATTGCATCGTTTCATTTGTCACAGTTCTACGTGTAGTTGGTTACATTCTATACCTGGAAATTTCTCCAAAACTGCTTCCTACGTGAGTCCCATGGCTCGGGAATGGGGTGGTTCTGCTCATTGACCGGTGTTGGCCAGAAACAGAAAATGACAGCCTCCAAGTTGCCTGCGATTTGTCAGTTATGTTTTGTCAGTGCTGTAGATTTCAGAAAATGCTTTCACACTTTCTCTCCATCTGAGGCGGCAGCGTGCTCTCTTACCAGCATCAGGAGCTCAGGGCCACGGGATGGTGGGGGCTGACTGCACTGCCGTCAAGACAGCTAAGGTAGTCACTGCAGGCGTGGTGCTTTTACGTAGTGCATTTCATGTTCTTTAATAGAAGGTTTTCAACAGAGAGTTAATTAACTGAGTTAATTAACATTTAATAAATATGATGCTTTGTTGAAAAGACAGGTATAGGCTGAATATATGCTGTGAAGACTTTAAAAACGGTTTCATTACTGAAATTTCAGTAGGGAAGATTCACAGTTTAACTTATTTATGCCTCTCTATTAAAATAAAAATGAAACAAGACAGAAAAGGCAGAGGATGATCTCTGTTCTTCCTCTCGGCTTGCAGGTGCCCTCACCTCCAGTGGTATCAATCCGGACACCAGCACTGACACTGGCCGTGCTCAGAACTGCCTCAGCCCTGAAGCAAATCTGACATACAGAAGGGGGCCACGCCCTGTTACAGCAGGTGCTCTCACTTTGTGGGTCCTTATGTAACTGCGCGGTGTTTTTCAGGATCGCCCTTTCTACATTGTGTGACGCTGCTGCTGTGTTTCCTAGTTAATTATTTCTGTAAGTACTCGTGTATTATTCTCCAATGCGTGGTACTAGACATCTAAAAATGCTTTTTTTCAGATGAAAAATAATGTGTATTTAACATAATATGTATGGAAAAAAGGGCAAAAGGGGCTATCCTGGTCCCACTACTCAGAGGTAATAATTAACACTTTAGCATCTAGTTTCTATTCTTTTCGTCAGTGTGTATCACATCTGTCATAAAAACCAGAGAGCACACTGTGCCTGTTTACTGTGTGGAGACCGCCATTTTACATTCGGCTTATTACATGTTTTTCTACAATATTCTATCTCCCCTGGCACGATTTTTAATGACCGGTATAGCATTCTGTCTTGTGGAAGCACCGTCCACTTTACTTCGGACTTAAATCAACTTTTAAACTCCAAGTATACTTCCCTGAAATACTGAAAAGAGAACTGTGGTGGTACCGAAAGGCCCCTACCTCTCTTCCCCTTATTTCCTGAGAGTAAAAACTGTTGACAATGTGGTGTATATATTTCATGACCTTTATGCCTATGACATATATATATACACATACATACATACTCTTATGTAAGATATCTATATATATATGTGTGTGTATATATGCTTTATTGAAAAATAAGGCCATACTATATGCTTTCTGCAGCTCGGTTTATTCACTCAGGGGTATATCATAGGCGTCCTCCCACTCCAGACTCACACGGTCCTTTCAGAGTGGAGGGGTCTCCTGATGTGCAGGTGCGGTCTCTTGTGTAAGGACACGTTTAGTGGGAGAGTGCTGTGGACAAGGCCCTGGACCACGCCGAAACGCCGACCCCTCAGTGCCCACAGCTCGCCGTGATTTACCGCATCATTGTCTTGATGGTGGACACTTAAGTTTTCTCCATTTTCCACTGTCAGAAAGGATGTTTGACTGGCATGCTGCTTGTACAGACATTCCTGTGATCTTGTATGAGTATTCCT